TAATAATAATAATACTTATGAAAACAATAATAACGGTGATAATGATAATAAACGTAATTATTTAAAAAGATGATGGTTATCGTAACAGACATTACAATAATTGTTTGCAAGTTTACTTGTTTTCTTTTTGGAAGAAAAATTGCATTTTTTTTCTCCCTTACTTTGTTTGGATCTAGTCTCTTCCACCCCTGTGGAAAATGCTGGCCTTGACACTGTGTGAAGTTGGATAAAAAAACAACCTAAAAAACAAACAAAAACAAAAGAAAAACAAAAAAGCAACACGCTGCCCGTTGGTCAATAATGTACCCAGCATGTGGAGTACCCCGCTGGTCCAACGCTGCACACTTTTGGATGTTCATCTCGGCAACTTTGATAATTCGGACGTGCGCGCAGACTACACACTTCGAGAAGGCCACTATTTCTGACAGCGGCGGTGGTGGTAGTGGTGGTGGTGGTGGTGGTGGTGGGGGAGATGATGAGGTGACCTTTGACCCTGAGGCCAGAACGACTGATTCTTCACCGTCTGCTTCTTATCTGTACAGTGGTCTGACTAGTGGTAGTAACAACAAGAACAATATTGATAACAATAATGAAAACAGGAACAACAACAACAACAACAACAACAACAACAACAACAGACGCTACAAAATAAATAGATCAACCAGCAATAATCCCAACACCACTACCACCACCACCACCAACAACAAGAGCAACAACAATAACAGCAACAACAGCAACAGAAAAATCAGCAGCAACAACAACAACAACAACAGCAGCAGCAACACCACCACCACAGCAGAAGTTGCCGTCATCCTCCCCTTCGACGACCGCTTCATCTTCGGCAAGAAGCGCCTCCTGCCGTCCATCCAGCACGCACTCGACTTCCTGTCGGACCGTGACGTCACGGCCGGCTTCGGCCTCAACTTCCGGTTCAGCGACTCCAGGTGCAGCGACAAGGACGCGCCGCTCAAAGCCTTCGAGTTCTACCGGAAGAACCAGGTCCACGTCTACCTCGGACCCATCTGCGACTTTGCGCTCTCACCCGTGGCGAGATACGCCCCTGCCTGGAATATATCAGTCATCAGTCCTGGTGGGTTATCGCACACGTTTTACGAGCAGCGGCGTCAGGATTATCAGACTCTGACGACTGTTGGAGCGTCGTTTAAGTCGCTCGGGGATTATATACTCACGGCTCTGCGTTTCTACCGCTGGAAGAGAGTGAAGCTGGTATACGACGCGAAGATTGCGCTGTATTCCCTCCGGAGGTATTGCTATCTCCTGGCGTCCGCGGTGATTTCTTCCGTGAGTCAATCCAAGGATATAAACGGCACGTTCTTCATGTACGTCCCGGAGAAGAACAGAGCGGAGGAGATTCTGAAGGAGGAGGTCGGCACGCAGGATGGGGGTGAGTACAGAGAGGGTGTGGATGGAGGAGTGAGTGAGTGAGTGGGTGAGAGGATGGATGGGTGAGTAGAGAGGGGGTGTGGAGGAGTGAGTGAGTGAGTGGATGGATGGGTGAGTAGAGAGGGCTGGATGGAGGAGTGAGTGAGTGGATGGATGAGAGGATGGAAGAGTAAATAGATGGGAGTGAGTAGAGAGGGATAGATGGAGGAATGAATGGATGGGTGGAGAGAATGGATGGGGGTGGGGGATGGCTGGATGGCTGGATGGATGGATTGATGGATGGATGAATGCGTGGATGGATGGAGAGATTAGGGTTAAAAGGATTGAGTGATGGAGACATGAAGAGATGGAAGGAAAGAGAGATGGAGGGATGAATTTGATGGAAAGAGGGATGACATTATATCCTGACTGGATGTGGTATTTAGACATAGCGAGAGAGAGATAAGAAAAGGAGGCGCAGAGAGAGAGAGAGAGAGAGAGAGAGAG